GATGATAAAAGCGGCGGTCACCAATATCAGGACAAGTCGTTAGCGACGGTCCCTCCGTCCTCATTATCATCCTCATAATCCTCGTCGCCATCGTCCCTATCACGATTGAGGATATTTGCAGAGAAGTCGTCAAGCGACGCAGGACATTTGTACGTGTTCCGCGAACGAAGGGGCAGAAGGGGAGGGGGACGTGAAAGGAGAGTCAGAATCCATGGGACTGTCGCCTGCTGGCGAACGGGTGAGGAGGATGCGCTGAGGAAAATGTCCGAAGGCGGAGAGGAGGCGGAAAGGAAGGCGGAACCTCCGCTGCTGTCCAGAGGTGAATCGTTCTCAAGACTGCGGGAGAGACGACGTTTTCGTGAGGAGGCTGCGGGGGCATTGGCAAAGTGCTTTTCTGCACACTGTTTCACCAGGCTATAGAGCTCACCAGCGGAGAAGCCCAAAAGGGTCTTGAGGTCACAGATGAACTTATAGACGAAGCGTTTCCCATGCACCTTGGAAATCATGTCGCAGTCGTATTAGTAACGCAGAGCAGGAGGCAGTGTGTTTTTGTTCTTGGCGAGTTTGTTTTTACGTTGGCCCCACATGGAAGCCACTCGCTCTGGATTGCTTAGTTTGTACTCGCTATCTTCATTGACCCAGTGAATGGCATCTCTATGACGCCAGCCAGTGAGGAGCTCAAGAAGGAACTGCGAGTGTTGGATCTGTCCAGCGGCCGCGGCAGCAGCTGCAGCGGCTGCATTGCTGCAGTTATTGGGGAAGCCAGCGAAGACGGAAGAAGTCAAAGACTGGAAAGGGATGAGGAAAGTATTATAAATGACGATGATGGTGCCAAGTGGCCCATTTCTAACAAATTCGCACAAAGGGCAAGAACAGTCAATGCAGATTCTCCCCGCATTACAATTACACGGCAAATAGATCAACGCACCCACACCACCACCACCACCACCACCACCACCAACATCATCAGCAGCACTGCAAAACTTTAACACTAATAGTGTCTGGTCATCAGGCTTCATCGTTCAGGAATGGAATGCAGGGCGCTAGTAAGGGTGTCCACCGATTTGACTGGCGGGACAGAGAACTCGGTAAGTTAAAAACAACTGCTGTTTTTCAGTGTCCCCTGTCGTCGTCAGCTCAGTCTTCGACAATAGTTAACCCACAAGACAGGTGCTGGCACAAACGGTTGCAGAACGGCAGTGGCAACGGTGAGGTCTTCTGGCCGCATTCGTCACGCACAGTTAATTTGCATAGTGAACACGTTGGGGACTACCACTAATTCCAGAGTACGGTGCCTTGGATTATAATGAGGACAACTTGAACATTATCGAGATCACTTCCACTTCCAATGGCAAGACAAGCAAACCGGTAAATAGAAATACAACGCACACAGTAAGCAGGTCAACGCAGTACCATCACCACCGCTGGCAGCAGACTTACGCAGCATCTAATGCACTCTCTGCTTTACCTCAGCCGCCTGGGCCGGGTGTAGAAAGAGAGTCAAGATGACCGGAGGCGGGACAGGGCGCAGACGATTGGCGCGGCGGGGGCATGCGCTTAGGCGGACTACCACACCTGCCATACATGGCATTTGTTATGGAGTCCTCAGCCCAGTAACGCGTGCCGTACCCTGACCTGACGCTCGTGTTGGTTCGGCGCAACTCCCGCATGGCCCGTTGTGGGGCTTCCAATATGATGAACGCTGTCTGGCATAAAACCATAGTAAACAGCGGACCCACACAACATGACATGCAAATCCGAGGGCCGAATAATTTAGGCAGTTGGCAAGCCACCGACTTGGATTTACTACGGCGAGAGAAGGTCGTACAGGATTGGCTGAAGGGCTGATTTCTGAATAAGTGGCCCTGTTACTTGGAAGGAAGGTACTGATTAAAACAGCAACATATGGGCTAGGAAGGGTAGGTAGCATAGGAAAGGTCGAGAGGGGAGGATGTGGGAAGTGGACAAACTGCAGAGCGGGCAAGAGTGAGAGGAATGAAATCAGAAATGTATATTTATAAGGCCCTTGGGGATCGGGATCGCTCATCGACCAGACTCAACCATTCGACATTTGGTTATGAGACCGAAGGCCCCCCTGCCACGAGGTTAGACGACAAATGTCATCTACTTGGTCCAGTGTAATTCTTGCCAAGCAAACTACGTCGGAGAGATAGGCAGACGGTTACAAACTCGCTGTTATATCCCCAATTAGTATGACGCCAGTTCTGTGCGAAATAGAAGACAGACAGGATAGGAGAGAACAGCTTTACTGCGTCAGTCACTCTGTGTACATCAACTCTTAATCCATCCGTCCGTGGTTTCGTATTTAAGGGTTCAGCCCTTGTCTGGTTTGCGTGTTCCTACTGGTCCAGTCCTGAGCGCCCGCATGGGCAGGCCCTCGCGTGTTGCTGGCCCCTGGATGTCGCGCATGACTCAGCGGCGTGCTAATGTCTGGCTCGTATGCGGGCTTCCTAGGCGAGGCTGTCCTGCGAGTTTGCGGTTCTTTGTCAGGCGCGACCCCCGGACGACAGAAACGGTGCGTCGTGTTCTGGGCCGTCCTAACACCTCCCGTTTTTAAAGAGTGGACCTCGTATGTTCGGCAGTTTGGGTGGATCATAAGTGTGTTCGGAGGGCGTCTAGTTCGAGAGGATCGCCTAGGGGCCTGGACCACATTTGGAACCTTAACCTTCGGAGTCGGGATACTGAAAGTGTCACAAAGTAGGTCCATGGCCAGTTAGTTGTCTGACGTCATTCGGTGTCTCAACTGGTTCGCGTGTCTTCTCACACGTCCTCGACTTGTCTCAACTTCAAAAACTACACCATGGGTCCTTTTGATTATACCCTCTATCCACGGTTCCCTTCCTGGAATGTAATCCCGTACGTATACTTCTTCTCCCTCCATGAAACAGGATTTTCGCGGCTGAACCTCTCGGACCACGGGTTTCAGATATTGCAGACGCACATCGGGTTGTCTGCCCAGAAATCTTTCTGCCGGAGTTGATCAACCTAACTCCGTCTTAGGCGTCGTTCGATAGGCCATCAGAAATGTGTTTAGGTGCTCCATCTTGACGCCTGTGTTCCACATCTTCCTCATTGCTCTTTTGAATGTGCCGACAAACCTTTCGGCCTGGCCATTGGATTGAGGATGGAAAGGCGGCGACCTTATGTGTTTGATCCCCCATTTTTGACACATTTGTTGAAAGGTGCTTGAGGTAAACTGGGTCCCATTATCTGTCACAATCTCTGTCGGGATTCCAAACCTCGAGATTAATTCCTCAGTTTTCCGCACCGTGTTTTCCGCCGTGATTACCGGAACCTCGAAAACCTCTAGCCATTTCGACCACGCGTCAACCACAATGAGAAACATCTTGCTGCAAAAGGGACCCGCGTAGTCCAGGTGGATCCTACTCCAGGGTTTCGTGGCCTCCGGCCACGACGCTGGTGGGATTTTCGGGGGGTTGTTTGCGAAACGTCCACACAAGCCACAACTACGGACAAAAGTTTCAATATTTTCGTCAATTCCGGGCCAGTAA